ACCCCACACACACAAAAAGTACAAAATCCTGGTATGAATCTTCAGGATCTCCATTATATATATCTTTTACTCTTTCATAATTCATTGGTTATATTATTACCCAAACACAATACTAGTATATAAAACTTTTTCTTACAATACGCCTTAATTTAGAGATCTAATGGTATGATGCCCTTTTTTCGATCGTCGTCTCTTTTGCATAATTAACGAACGTTGTTGATTTTAAATATTGATAATTGAATAGCTTTATATTACATGTATGGTTGGTTCAGGCAGATGAAAGCATGGACAAATACAATAATTTATCAGATTTTCTCAAGAATTTCTACGTTCCTTCGTACGTTCTCTCCCCTGAAGCCGAACATGTGGTCGTGCCAAGTGGTCCACCAGAGAGCCCAATCATCGTATTCATCAACTCCAAAAGCGGCGGTCAACTCGGTGGAGAACTCTTAAGAACCTACCGAACTCTTCTCAACGAAAAACAGGTCTATATGTATATGTACAGACCTAATTATAATATATTGAGTTTTAGAAAATCTATCAAAACTATGGTTTCTCGAATCCGTTGATTGCTATATGTTCTTATGATCCTTAACTTTAACTCTCAATCTTATGAATCAATGTCAAAGATGGATAATATCTAGGATATTTATAGAAAAAAATCTGAAAACCCTAAAACTCCTAAACATTAGATTTGTAATTAAAATATTAAAACTATTAAAATAAATATAAAGTCTAAAGTTCCATAAGATGTTATATTTTGGACTTTTTCTTGATTATATATACCAATAGCATGGACGTTTGGTTTGGTGCTCAGGTTTTTGATCTTGAGGTAGAGACTCCGGATAAGGTGCTACAGAAAATATATCTTAACCTAGAGAGGCTAAAAGACGATGGTATCGCTCGCAAGATTCATGAGAAGTTGAAAATAATTGTGAGTTAACTATTTCATCTCTCTGGAGAATGAAGGTGTTTTCATTAGAAATTTAAGTCATTAAGTTGAGAGTTGTGTGTTGTAATTAGGTTGCAGGAGGAGATGGAACAGCTGGTTGGCTCCTTGGAGTTGTCTCTGATCTTAAATTATCCAATCCACCTCCAATTGCTACTGTTCCCTTGGGTACGGGAAACAACCTTCCATTTGCATTTGGATGGGTATGTTATATAACTTATACATAATACACTAATCAACATTATGATCATATAGTAAATTATGCTATATATCTTCTTATAAACCTCATCATCTTTAGGGGAAGAAAAATCCTGGAACATGTAGGTCTTCTGTGGAGTCTTTTTTGGATCGAGTGAGCAAGGCTAAAGAAATGAAGATAGACAAGTATATACTGATTCATATCATTCTCTTCCAATACTCAAATAATATACTTTAATATGTGGTTGATATGTATGCATTTGATATCTTGATTAAGTTGGCACATACTTATGAGGATGAAGGCTCCCAAAAATGGCTCTTCTGAGCCTATTGAGCTACCGCATTCTCTACATGCATTTCATCGTGTTTCTCCATCAGATCAAGTAAATATAGTAAGCCCAGATCAAGTAAATATGGTAAACCCTTCTTCTCTCTATCTACTCCTCACTATCTCTTCCTTCTCTTCTTATATGATCAGCAATACCTTTTTTATCATTCCAGGAAGGTTACCAAACATTTCGTGGAGGGTTCTGGAATTACTTTAGCTTGGGTAAGAATTTTGCTCTTTGACTGCTGAAAAATCACTCATATCGTTTTTTTTTAAGTATACATATTTCCTTGTCTTGTTAGCATTACTAATCAGTTTTATTGCAGGGATGGATGCTCAAGTATCTCATGCATTTCATTCTCAGAGAAAATCGCACCCCGAAAGATTTAAGAATCAGCTGGTTAATCAGGTTTACATACCTTGCTCTTAAAGTTGTTTTTGATGTTGTCTTCAAATGATGTAGCTCTCTCATGTTTTTATTTAGTGTGATTACATCAAAGTAACAGAAAAATAACAAGTAATGTTTCCATTGATCGATTCCACGATGTTCCAGAGCACATATTTAAAGCTTGCTGGTACACAAGGATGGTTTTGTGCCTCTCTTTTTCACCCTTCTTCAAAGTGAGTATATTTATATTTGCCCCATTGTTTTGTGCATGTATGAATATGTATTCGGTACATATGCATTCTATGCCACTCATTATAGTTGGAGTTTTGACATTTTTCCATTAAATGGGACGCATTCTTAGTTTACGATGTCATGCGTATATGATTTCGATGTAACATTCTATGGCGTTTGCTGCAGAAACATAGCTCAGCTAGCAAAGGTTCAGATTTGTGATAAAAGTAGCCAATGGAATGACCTTGACATTCCCCAAAGGTAACTAATTAAGTATACATTCATTCCATGTAAAGTTTGGTTTATTGTACAATCATGAATCGACTTTTTGGACTGACCAGAGATTTCAATTTTCTTTGCGATGGATCATTTTTCAGTACCCCAATATTATAGATCATTGATTAACATTTTAATTTTGTTCTGGCAGCATCAGGTCAATTGTGTGTTTGAATCTTCCTAGCTTTTCTGGAGGACTAAATCCTTGGGGAACACCAGACCCGAGGAAACAACGTGATGTAGGTTTTAACATTCTCTTTCACATTTCTTACGTATTAATCTACTATAAATCAAATGGTGTTTGTTACTTGATGATGTCTCAAACAGAGAAGCCTAACTTCACCATTTGTTGACGATGGACTCATCGAGATCGTTGGGTTTAGAAATGCATGGCATGGTCTTGTTCTGCTTGCTCCAAATGGTCATGGGACAAGACTTGCTCAGGTAAACATATAACGTGATGATATAAGACGAACAAAATGTGAGTAAAGTGCATATTTTAACTCGTGTGTGTGTATATGTGTATAGGCAAATCGAATTCGGTTTGAATTCAAGAAAGGTGCAGCGAAACATGCGTATATGAGAATGGATGGAGAGCCATGGAAACAACCACTGCCACTTGATGATGAAACTGTCATGGTAGAGATTTCACACCATGGACATGTGAAGATGCTTGCAAACCATAATTGCAGGTCCAAAAGCATGTATGAGTCTTCTTCCACAACCCGGTCTGATGATGATGAAAATGAAGACTACTCATCAGTGGCTAGAGGTGAGGAAGTGTTTAGAAAGTTTGGTGCGGCTGATACATTCAAGATTTCTAACGATCTTTGAAATTTCTCATCTTAGTTAGACATTCACTTATGTGTTTGACTCCTTGCAGATTCTTCCTCCTTTTTATGTCACATGTATGTGAATACAACTTTAGACTTTCTTTCAACTTATATAAACTCCCATATCCTCTGTTTTTTGTCCCCTGTTCTTTTTCTTTGTGTTCGACGCAGTACTACATTATGAAAAATGCACAAAGATATTTCATGAGATGCAGAGAGATCAATATAACCTCTGGAGAATATGTGACGGTTCCAAATGTTGTCAAAGTATCGATAACAAACTTGCTCAATGCCAGGGAACAAACTCTTTAGCTCATCCCAAAATAGATCCAAAAAGTTAAAAGAAAGAAAAAGATCAACAATAGCCCTATAATTGCAATCTTTGTTGACATATGAA